ATTTTTTCTTCAGTTTAGAGCGAAAAGATTTGAGCGTACTTATACCACAGGCTTTTTTTTCACAACAAGTTCGCCATCTAAACGGAATACGAAACCAAAGATACTATGATAACAGATAGCAATTTGAAGCTCGGATCTAATACACTCAAGCATTTTCAAGAAGATGTAGATGCTAGGCAGAAGACAAGTGAAGCAATAACATGAAAGATACAACAAATGTTTGTGAAATATGGATCAACGTATCAATATTATGATGAGTTTGCTGCCGAGTTTGTTCTTTTATGACTAATGAAGTGCTTTAAAAACGAATAAAACATCTATTTCGTAATGAAATTGTCTTTTTAACCTTCTGTAGTGCCATTTGGAATAGGATTTTCTGATTAGTGGCAAAATATAAAGATCAACAGAAGTTATATTTGTAAATGCAGTTTGCTACTTTATCTGCTTTCGCAGAGTTAACCTCTCCTCTGTACAAATACTAATGTTTGTCATGCTTCCTTCTAATGAATCTGTAAAGTACCGGATTAAAAAGGTGTTTTTTTAAACTTAGTTTCTGGAGAAAACAAGCTGCTAGGAATGTGGACTATCGTCAAACTCCAAATTACAAATGACAGCAAGCTCATCAGACTCTTAATCCCGATATTATGATTTCGCAATCAAAAGAAATTCAACATCTTGAAATTTACATCACACTTGTGATTTATCATGTAACAGAGTCAAGAAACATTAATATTGGAATGCCAGAAACCTTGATAAACCGCTCAATAACAACAGTTTTATCTGTAGACATAAACATTAACAGTAACAAAGAATTTAATTCGTACGCACTGACACCTGCCAGACACGTATGACATTGTCTGTGTATCCAGCATAGAGGGTCTGTCCGTCTTGCGACCAAGCCAACGAGACGCATTGAGGGGCGGTGGAGCTCTTTCCTGTGATTTCGGGCTTGAGTTCCTCGATCTCGCGTTTATCCTCCAAATCCCAGATCTTGATGACAGGGCCAACAGCAGCGCACAACCAGTATCGGTTCGGTGAGAAGGCCATGGCATGAATAACATCGTTTCCATTTAGAGTGTAAAGGTGTTTGCCTTCGTTCAAATCCCACAGCATAGCTTGCCCGTCCTTGCCACCGGAAGCGCAAAGTGAACCATCTGGGGAAACAGTCACGGTGCTGACGTAGCCGGTGTGACCAATGTGGTTGGTCTTCAGGCGGCAGTTGCCGAGGTTCCACACTTTAACGATCTTGTCCCAACCAGCAGAAACAATCACTGGGTCACGCGTAGAGGGCGAGAATCTAACAGTGGAAACCCAATCAGTGTGGCAGTCTTCCTAAAAATCGACTGATATGAATTTTTACAATGACAACACAATAAGAAGTAGTAAAAAACTCGTAAGTAAAGTTTTTCTGGCAGTGTTATATAGGAGAGGTAAGTCATATACACCATCTTACTACTCAGATCTACTCATATTCGAAAAATGCAGAGTCAGTGATGACTAAGGTGAAACAATCGTTTCTAGATAATTCTGCAT